CTGTTTCCAGGTGTGCTGCTGTTGCTCTTTGTCACTGCATGCTCTTGTCACAGGCTGAGCTATAGTTTGATCAAAGGGTTTCCTTCACAGGCAAAGAGCTGGCGCAAGTGTATCCACCTGAACATGGAGCTGACAGAGGTGCGGAGGCAGACTGACAGGGACTTCATTTCTCTTCTGCATACTGTCCGCCTGGGCAGGTGAGATGCCATCCTCCCCCAGCAGAATATCTGGCTGGGGAGATTCTAATCTCTTGGGGATGGAAGTCCTATGTCTAGCGAGACATTACCAAACATTTGAATGCTGATATAGCTGCTTCTATCAAGTTGGCTGGCCTGCTCCAATACTTCCTTTAAACTCATTGCACTGTTTGAAATTTGGGTCAAGTACTCTTTGAGGAACCATGGAGAAATGCTGGGAGACACTGGGTTTGGAGGAATGGGGAATTTAGAGGTACTGTGTTTGCTGGGGTATTCCTTCACTTGAAAGCATCCTCGCTCACATACTAGCGATGCACAGAGTTGATCTCCATGTTTTGGTGCTGGTTATGGCCTCATGTTCTCATGGAAAGTAATTTGAATGGGCACAGCAGCAAGCCTGATAGTTCTTCTTGGTCTTCAATGTTTCTCATCAGATACAAATGTCTTCTTAATTTTAATTGTCCCCATTCAGATGCACAGAGGAAGTTACCAGACAGCTAACTCTAACAGCTACCCATCGGGTGGAGAAAGATGGAATCTTGGCTACCCGGTTGTGCACCCACAAGGATGATGTGGAGCTCACAAATGCTAGAAGGCTGGATGAGTTGCCTGGTGAGAATGCTGCAATGACTCCAACTGTGACAAGTAGCCCTTTCCTTTTAGAGACAGACTTTCAGCTAAGAGCTGGGAACCAACCCTTGGGAACTTGCCCTGCCCCTCTTCTTCCTGAATAAAACAACATGAGACCATTATAAAAGTAGGCAATACATCCTACTGACACCAATAGTTAAGTTTTCCAGACCTGATATTCTTGCCACCAGTTTTCGATAGGTGAATACAAGGACACATTTATTTATTTATTTATTTATAATATTTTCTTCTGTTGCTGATATCTGCAGAAGTGTATCACATGTATTGTCTGGAATTCTGGAATTTTACAGAATTATGCTTTCAGAATAGTGTGCAGAGCCTAATACTTGGAGCTCACAACACCTGGGGCTGTGGGAGGAGGATGAAACAGCACCCCCTACATGCAGCTCAGCTATTGGGGAGTAACCCTTTCAAAACACATCAGGCAGGAGGGATGCAATTTTTTTACATCTTGTCTGTCTTCTAGGAGAACGAAGGTCCTTCAAGGCAGTGGATAGTGACCCTGTACTGGTGAAAACTCTTGATGCACAGTGTCCAGTAAGCAGCAACATTGAACTTAAGCAAGGTGCCCAGGTGAGCATTGCCCAAGCGAGAGGCGGTTCTTTAGTAGGCAATGGAATTTTGCTTTTTTTGTGGGTGGGGGGAAAGGTTTTTATGTTATCTGCTTCTCACACTAGCACCACAGTCCTGTATTCTTCACCTTTCCCATGGGGTCTCACAAAAGGGGTCCCCAACCCTAGGATACTGGAGTCCTCTTGATGCAGAATATGACAGCATAAAGTGTTACAGGCAAATGCTGGCTGGATCTTACAGGAGCAGGCAAGCAGAGTAATTGTAAAATGAATGGTTTCTATAACAAATATCTATTATATAGGTTGTCTGAGGGAGTCATGGTGGCACTTACAGGTAATTGTTGACTGTAGCTTGGAATGTCAGAGCTATAGGCTTGGACACATCTGCAAACTATTTATATGTGCTCAGTATTTCACCTGCTGAGCAATTCAATTACTCCTTGCATTCTATTAATACTGATTTCTCTCTTACAAATGCGTGGCTGGCTAGCACTGATTATAGCTTCTCAGGAATTGTTACCTGCACTGCCATGGCTAGGTTGGACAGATCTTTACATGACAGAACCTAGAGTATCAGCTGAGTGAAATGATACTCTTATGGACCCTAGTGGCTGCCATTTGCTTTATTTGAGCTGGTTGTGCACTGCTTTCGATAACTTTTAAACCTTAAAACTGGGAAGTCAGGCCATGCCAAATGCCACAGAGTCCTTAAGAGCTGCACCCAGCTATTAAATATGGGTAGCAAATCTGTGATGCTGTTTAACTGTGATTGTATTGTAATATTAAAGTTTAACTGAGACCAGTTACCATTTTCAGCACATTATTCACTTTATTAGATGGATTACTGGTTTTTTTTCTGGTCTCATATGTATGTATTTAATATTTGACTGTTCGTTTGGCTATCTACCTTGTGTGCTGCCTTCTTGAAAAGCAGGATAAGTGTATACAATGAATAACATCCAAACAAGTATGAGGCTTTCCCTACCCGAGGAACAGGGTGGGGACATTCTTGTTTGTTTTCAGTGGCAGTAATTGAGACTCTACTGTTAATGCTGACTATGTACAATAAAGTCGACTGACCGGACAGGTGAAAGCTAGGATGGCTTTCTTCATTAGTAATTTTTACATTCTTTCACTAGGTGATGCTTACTAAGAATCTTGATGTGTCCCAAGGTCTTGTGAATGGGGCTCGTGGAGTTGTGATTGGATTTGAAACAGAAGGAAAAGGTTAGTTTCTGACAGATGCACTTATCACCCATGACTGGGTGTTCTTCGGACTGTGTCTGAACTCTTCTAGATTCACAATGAAACTTTGGTGGGTGCCTCTGCACTGTGCCAGAGGTGGAGGATTTTTTGAGACATAGTTGCTGTTCTTTGCCATCCAGTTTTTTGTACATGAGCTGCTATTCTATTGGCGTCCCATTTGCGAGGACTCAAGTGGATGAGTTCTAGGCTGCCTTGCAGTATCTCCTTAAAGACAATATATATTTGGAAGGTTACCTGGCCCTGACTCCTGGGCATAGGAGATCAAAGTTCTGACTTGGCTCTCTTTCTACAGGGCTACCGAAAGTGAGATTTCTGTGTGGCGTCACTAATGTTGTTGGGTTGGAACGATGGGTTTTAAAGGGACCAGCAGGAATTTATCTGAGTCGCCAGCAGCTGCCGCTGAAACTTGCCTGGGCCATTTCCATCCACAAGAGCCAGGTTAGTGATACATTGTGTGATATTCTGTACAAGAAATCAAGACAGTAAAAATGGTCCATAATGGGACGTCTGTAAGGAACTTGTGTTTATCTAGGTTTATCTGTACTAAAGCTCCCGCCAAAGTTACTATGGTTCTGGGATGTTACCAGTTGGGCCCCACATCTATGCGGGATCTGTAAGAATCTGCTCATTTGCCTTGCCCCCCCCCCGCGATTAATTATAAATTAGTGGAATCTAGGCAGACCAATCCTGTACACCAATCAAACTCAAGCTGTTTTCCTTGCAACATGTGGCTGTTCTAGAAACACTGGAAAATCACACCACCCTGGAAACAAAATTATAAAGGGTGAGGGAACTGTGGAAATGTTGTTCAGCAGTGTTAGTTCTTCCTATTTGCCTGGTACCCATTTTGCGGAATCAAGCACCATACATAAAATATATAGGTACTTTACTGTACTATGGGGTGCACATACTTATCAGAATAACTAGGGAGTATCTGCTTCCTGACTTTTTCTCTTTTACTAGGGTATGTCTCTGGACTGCGTTGAGATTTCCTTGGCTCGTGTTTTTGAATTTGGCCAGGCTTATGTAGCACTTTCTCGAGCACGTAGCCTTGCAGGTCTTCGTGTTCTGGATTTTGATCCCAAGGTAGTGAGAGCCAATCCATACGTGTTGCAATTCTACAAGCACTTGAAGAGAGAAAAATTTCTAACCCAGGTAAAGTGATAATCTGCCACTAGGCTACCATAACTATCTGCAACTTAGGCATTCTGATTTTGTGTTGTATAAACTGCAAAGGGAGGAGGGTGGGAGAAAGGAAGGGCAATATAGGAGCCTGGAACAAGGGCCACAGGTGACTAATGGCATTGTGAATTAGGGATATCTGGCCACCATTCCTCTGTAACCCTGAAATAGACACAACGCTCTTGAGCGATTATCTGTCTGCAGCCCTAATTGCAAAATGTATCTTCCCTACATTTCCCTCTCCAAAGAAGAATATACTGTTACAAGCTCATACTTTATTAAAGAAAAAAGTAGTGGAAGGTCATAGTCCTTCCATATGGCAGAAATGTCCCATCCCCCCCAGGGGATCACAGTGGCAGAGCAAGCTGATTGGGCACCTGGGGAGGCACACATGCCCTGTGCCCAGGGGCGGGGCCACCCAAGCCGGGGCAGTGGGGCCTCGGAGGAGTCTGCCTGCCTTCTCCCACTCAGCCGCCCTACAGCTGAGGGAGAGGCGTCGGGTGGACCGTTTGGGGCAGTGTGGAGCCTGCGGGCGCCCAAGTCATTGTGTCACTCCCAAGAGAGACGCGTGGCTCAGGCGTGTTGCGGGCCCTGCGGTGAGTGCCACCCTGCATTTTGTCACCCGCCCTCAGTGGTGAAACCTGGGGCGGCCCACCCCCACCACACACCCCTTCCTCCACCCCTGGGGGATCATACAAAGTGTGAGTAGCTGTGTATAATTTGTTACTTTTGTTCTTTAGGCTTTGCTGCACTCCTCTATTCAAGCTAATAAAGAAAATGAAGAAGCTGCCTGAACTTGACATACTTTTATTGCTCCTTGTACTTTTATTGAATCTACACCACTAAGTGGGAAACTTCTTCCATGGAGAATCAGCTCAGCTCATGGATTTTCTGCACTGCAGCTCCTGATACTTCCAGGATCATTCTGTTTTCTAGCATTAGAACATCATCCTGGAAACATTTCCCACAGACTATCATAGTTCAAGAGATGAACCTAAAAGTCAATTTTTTAACCAAAAACTGTTATTAGGACGGAAGTAAGATGTTCTGCTATAATAACTTCAAGAAGTCTTTTAATTCAAACATCAGCATTGACAGTATTGTACCTATGGCAAGAGTTTGACACACTGAATAATAAAGAATGCACTTTATTTTTAAAGGACATAAAAGTGAATGAAATTGCTGCTCTCAGTGCAGCACATAATGCGTGTACGACATGCCAAGAGTCTGAGTTTACAAAGATGGCACACTAGTCTTCTAGGACCTGCCTGTTACTTACATTCTCTACAGAGGCCTCTTCAAATAAAATAAATAAAGCAAAGATGCTAAATTGTAGTAATTTGTTAAAACTATATATGCATGTTGCCAATTTAGGAGCTAGGAACTCCTTCCCAAGTTAACATGGTTCAGTTAAAATTCAGATTTTGAGAAGTGCATTTAATCTATGTTTGAAGTAATAATTACTTAAGGTGCTAGTTATGTTATGTTACAAAGTATGCTTTCTTTCCCCAGTCCCACCAGTTTATGGCAAATACTGCTATGAGCTGTTATGAGTCCAAGTATATCCATACTAATATCGGCTTAATAAAATAAGTACTAATGCTACATGGAGGGTTTATGTTTTGACACAGGCTGCTGTAGCATTTATGCTTCTATGCTATAACATAGTAACTTCATCTTTGCATTCTTCAGTGCCTACAACTATAACAGTTCAGTATTGTGTTAGTGGTAGATGGGGGGGCATTTCTTCCAAGAAGATATACTGCATCATCAAGCATTGCTTAACAGTAACATTACTAAGCATGTTATAAGTTAACTTTGCCTAGTTTATTTCAGTTAAAGCCTTCATGGCTTCTATAGCTCCTCAAACCGTATTGAAGGTAAGCCCTGGTGAGTATGTTACAGGTAGAAGGCAAAAGGCACTTGGCAAGTAATATGAGATTATTACAGCTTTGCAACTGATATTTTTGTAGTCCATTTTTTTTAAAAAAACCACGGTTATTACAAAATAATTTGACTATTCTGTGACTCAGGAATGATATTCATCATCACTTATTTTACTAACCACAATGATCTGTAGACCAAGGTCAAGATTAACACTCAAGGCCATCTCTGAGCTGCTACATAGCAACTGGCCAAATAAGATCTAGCAGCTGTCATGGAGTAGTAAGACCAGACTTCAGTGTAATACAAAACAAGTATCATACTCATGAGCCAAGGTGTAAAAGAGCAGGTCAGGCTGCTTAACCCCCATGCTACGATGAGGGGGATCATGGCTAAGGAAAGCTCAGCAAGCTTGTTTAGTCTTCCCACACATGTTATGAGAGGACATAGTTCATTACTGGGCAGCACAGAATCCAGTTCCCTCAGTCAAAGCTTTCTTCTTTACGTGCAAGGATAGCTAAAGGAAACAAGAATGGATTCAAAGGGCAGATACCCAGAGTCTTCCAGTCCATGGCAGAGGCAGAAGTTGCATCATCTTTGGAAGTTGTAGGTGAACTACTACTCTCCTCCTGTTGTGGTAAGCCACTAGTAGCTGGCTGCACATGCGGAAATAGCTCCCCATTATTGTTTACAGGCTGGTTGCCCTCTTTTATTCTGCTTCTTTCACCTGTGTAGTGGGTGTTCAACTCTGTGTAACATTTGTGCATGTGACTCTTCAGCTTCTTAAAGTCCAGAAAGCCCAGCTCTTCTGGCAGTGACAATAGCAAATCTAGGACCACAGCTGACTCTGCAGAAAGCAAGCAAAAATGTATGAGGAGAGTGGCTACACTCACTTTGGCAGAAACATAGGCAGGATTTTTTTACAGATTCTGAAACTTCACCATGCCTCCAACATGTGTAACAAATGAAGTAGAAAATTTTCTCACATTAACAGCTAAGCTATTTTAGATTTTTAAAAATTATGTCTTAGAGGTTAAGGATAACTTTCTATATAAGAAGTTTTATTTTAAAAACTGGAAATCTGATGAGAACCTTTTATCTGTTTTACATTATATGACAAGTTGCTGCTTCCTCTCACCTAGGAAAACTCTACCTGTCTCCACGCTCACGGGCCACTCATATTTTCACTGGGGGGTGGGGAGAAACATAACAAACAATTCCCTTCTGAAATGTTTTCCTTAGTCCCTCAAATCCCACCCATCATCCACAACAGTAACCTCAAAGGTTACCCAACTACGCCCAGCAAGGTGGTTGTTGCTTTTAGTAGCACTAAATATGTTGGAAGTTTTGGCAGAAGGAGTACAGTTTTTGGCAGGACACAGTGTTTCCAGTCCTAGGGGATGCTCCATTTCTGGGAAGCGTTTTTAAGATTTAGTGTCCAGCCCTTCAGCTGAAATAGAACTCCACAGCCGATGACAAAAATGGCACAATAAAGAAAAAGCAACAGAATAAAAAGGAAGGGATGGAATGATTGCAAATAAAACTCAATAAGGCAGTTTCCATAAGGAGAAATGTTTTTGCCTGGCACCAATAATACAGTAGGCATGCTGTAATAGATGTCTTGGTTACCTGGAGTTACATTCCAGTGCAGAAACATTTCTTTCAGTAGCTGCCTGTTATTTAAATTCATCTTGGTCCAACACAAATGCCGACTTACCACATGGTGGGAGTTCAGGTGCCTTACAGCCACGTGAGATCACAGAAAGGTACTTGTAGATCTTTTCAAAGTCCACATGGAACCCACTGTTTTCTGCAGGGGCTATTTCCTCTACATTTGATGATACAGTTGGTTCATGAGATTCTTCATCGGATTTCCTACTCTCACTATGAAGATTTTGGGATGAACATTGAGAATCCTTTATCACCACTGACTTTGGAGGCACAGAATGGAGCAAGGTGAGTGGCTCAGTAGATGCAATTGTCCAAACCTAATGAGTAGAGAAAAAGTCACAATCAAGTATGGACTTTGTATGCCAAGTAGTCAGGGGTTCTCTAGTAAACCAAATACATTTCCCAGCATTAAATCTGTCTGAAAAGTTATACAAGAACCAAGAGAACCAGGACAGAGCCATGTATTTCAGAGACATTTTGTCAGATGGAGACATACAGATATCTTAAATTACTACACCAAGAACAATACCTATCTTATTAAGATCATGGAAAAGGTTACCTGGGAAAAAGCAGTTGCCACAGCATCCTCAAGGGGACCTGTCAATTTCTCAGCTAACTCTGTCCATATCTAAAAAAAGGAAGTGTCTGTTGTGTGAATAGCCCTTAGCTTATGTTGTGTCATATCACATTACCTACACTTTTAAAACTCTCATACCTCAATAGGTGCTGGAATAGGAGCATCCTTCTGTTTACGCTGGCGATACTGATATTGTTCCTTGACTGCTTCCTTTGCCACACGCTCTTTCAGGTGCTCCACAAATGCCATGATCTGCAAGAGCAGCACAACTTAGGGGACATACATGGAATGTTTTGGGAAAGACAGTATCTATCTTTCTGAAGACATAAAAGCTGAGCATTTCTTCAAGGCAGAAAGTTTGCAATTACTCCCCTTTAACTAGGATTTGCCAGTATGAATGTGTAGAGGATTAATAAAGGAGCATAGGTCCTCTCCCAATTCATCCTCCCATGTCGTCCCTTATGATTTATCTGCCAAGGCCACCTAGCTCTCGTGGCTGACCAGAGATAGAGTCCTCGTCTCCAAACCCTGCATGCTGGTCATCAGTCCGCCAACTCGTGGGGTTGTTAGGAAGCTCACAGCCCGGCCAAGTTCGAATCCTGCCCTCCACCACGTGGCCACGCCTCAACCCACCTCTTCTTCATCCCTCGAAGGCAGGTACTTCTTCAACAGCTCGGGCCGCAGCGGACCCTGGCCGTGAGCTCTCAAGGCCCGAAGAAGGCGTCGCTTTTCTGGGTCCGTCCAAGCCTGGCTCGTGGGGGCCGTCCTGTAGCGAGCAGGGGCTGAACGCTGCCTGGAAGGCGGCTTCATGGCGCTGAGAAGAGAAAACAATATAAAGCTAAGAACCTAAAACACGCCCAGGGGTGTCAATTGCCACCCGCCCACCACCTATTCTCTTTAGCCCCTCACCTCTAGCCACCCGTTCCTGGCTTCTAAGGCGATACAACGCTGCTCGTTACCTTCCGGTAGTCCTCAGTCCTCAAACATAACGCCGCCTAGTTTGCGAAAAGCCGTTGCTTCCAGGTTGTCGCAATCGGATGACGTATAAAAACGCGCCGACGGGGGCCGCCAAGGACCAGAAACTATCAGAGGCGAAAGCAACCTTAGCAGCGTCTTCCGCTGGGACGGTGGCGGAGGTGGGTTCTAGAACGCCTCGACGTCACGAAGGAGCTCTAGGCTGCGTAGCAACCGCATGGCTCTTGCAGGGATTCCTGAGACCCCCCGTTCTCACGGGGGGCTCTAGAATGGGACAGATCGCCCTTAAGTCTGGCTACATGTCTTGCTGGTCGGCCGGCGTCGCTTTGGGGATCCTAGTCCTATTGCTGTGTGATGGGCCCGGTACGGAGAAGGGTGCTGTCGAGGGGCTAGGCTGCAACCGGGTGTCTCCTCGAGGATGTGGTGGTAGCACATCAGAGCTGCAGTCGCTTGTGAAAAGAGCCAAGGGCACTGTCTCCTAAACGCCTGCCTGTTATACGAGTTTATTAATTCAATTAACATTCGAATCTGCCCTCAAAAACGGATGGAATCGCCTCGCAGGCAGCTCAAAAACACAAGATTCTGGCCCGAAATGGCTCCTTCATGGAGCTAGAGAGCTGAATCGTGAAGTTCAATTTGAGACTTCTGAAACTGACTTTGTATATTGCTATCCTCCTGAGGTCTACCAAATGGTGTCAGGAGCAATATCCTGGCTGGGGTGGGTGGACAGTACAGAGCCACATTGTACAAAGGTGGCGGTGGGAACAGGATTGGCACCCCATGGAAAAGGGTGGTTCAGCAGGCAGAATTACCTGTTCCACCCCACAAACCATACACTGGAATAAACTATATACACAAATGAAAATGTATTGTAACAATAACTACATCAAAAAATAAATATATAATTAATAATTCAACATCTAAGTTACTGCAGTTTAGGGATTTTAACACAGAATTCTAAAACTGGCCAGCGGCAGCCATTAATGCAATCCCATGTGTACTCAGAAGGAAGTCCTGTTGAATTTACTAGGGCTTCCTCTTGGGTATGGTGTTAAGATTGCTGCCTACTTTCCAGGTGAGGAACACTGAGGCTGAGAGATAAGTGATTTCTATAAAGTCACCAATGGCAGATACAGTCATACCTCAGGTTACAGATGCTTCAGGTTGCATGTTTTCGGGTTGCACACCGCTCCAAACCCGGAAGTACAGGAATGGGTTACTTCTGGGTTCAGCACTTGCGCATGTGCAGAAACACTAAATCATGCTTTGCGCATGCACAGAAGTGCCAAATTGCAACCCACGTGTGCGCAGACGCGGCACTGTGAGTTGCGAACGCTGCGGGTTGTGAACGTGCCTCCTGCACGGATCACGTTCGCAACCCAAGCGTCCACTGTATATATCAGTTTTATTTGCTGTTGTGGAAATACTCTGTGTCATCCGGGGATTTGCCAGTATATCCCAATTTAACTTCCGACTCTCCCTGGTCAAAACACAGGAGCTCTGGGGTGGGTTTCAGACCGCACAATGTACCATGAAGCTGGGAACTACCGTTTTATGAACACACAGATACAGCAGACAAGTCTGTAATGATACTTTCCAAAGGAGGCATCATGCTGAACTCTGCTCCTTTTCAGGCTGTGGACTTCACCTTGACTTGTCTGACAATGGAACTCCTGCAGGACTGGCACGTGTTAGAAAGACAGCTGGAGAGATGGGTGAGAATGTAATAAAGATCAGTTCCATTTAGCTGACACTGCACTAAGTAAAATAAACAAGCAATAAATGGGGACATCATCTGATCAGCTCGATCCACTGTGGCCTTGTTTCATCCATCTTCAGTGGCCATCTGATCTGTGCCTTGAATCCATGGCCTTGGCACTGTGCTCTGGCCACCTGAGCTAGCCAAGCGATAGGTGATCATTAGATGATTTGAGCCCATTAACACAAAGCCCAACCAAGAACCTTGTTTTCCCATTGCCCTATCACCAATGCCAAATTGATTCTGATTTATTCGTTATTTACTAAATTTAGTAAAAATTTATTAAAAAGCCCAAGACAGAGTACACAGCTCTTCCACCTTCCATTTATCTTCATGGCAACTCTATGAGGTAGATTAGGCTGAGAGGTAGTGGCTGGCTCAAGGTCATCTAGGGAGCTTCATGGCCAAGGGAGGATTTGAACCCAGGTCTTCTTGGTTCTAGTCAGACGTGCAAACCACTATATCTGCCTATTTTTTCAGACACCATCTTTGTCCACATTGGTGCCAAGGAATTTACTATCCCCTGCAAGTCTTCAGAGATGGATGTTGTGATTGGTATGAATCCCACCTACAACTGGAGCCTGGAAAATGAAGGTTAAGCCTTATTGCTTGGGACTCTAGGATCTTTCAGTAGATGTCAGGGACAGATGTGTGAGGGAAAGAAGAGGATGGATTACTTGGGAAAAGGCACCTGTTGGTGTCCCAGGGCTGCCAATGTTTTTTCTAGAATGATCAGCAACAGAGATTTTTTTGCACCTCAGACTGATTTGAACTTTAGCACCCAAGATAAATATTTCCCAAGCATTTTATGTTGAGAATTAGTTTAGTCTTGCCTATGCCCTCTGTGTCCTTGTGCCTTGGGCAAGAGCCCATGTTATGTCACTCCTCCTCCTAATGCTACAGAGAGGCCATTATGTGGCTAAATTTGGAGTGAGTGGGGATTGGGCCCTGTGGATTTCATTAAGGAGCCCATCTTTACCTCTTATACCAGTTCAATCCCTGCTTGGGGTGAGGCTTGAAGATGCATGAAACGGTAACTTGCAAACACATTGATGCATCTGTTAAGTTTCCCAGATGTGAAACCAAGTTGACCTGAAACTGACCGCGTCTGGAGAGATTATTCTTCACAACAGGCATATTGGCAAAAACATCAGAACTACTGGAAATGAAATTGACCCAGAGCTCAGCTTTTTAAGGTTCCTGTTACTTAAAAGTTATGACTGAAGCAAGCTGTGAGACAACTTGCTTTTCCAAACCCAAAACTTGGTTGTAAAATAGTATCGGCATGTCACAAAATATTGACTAACTGTACCTGCCAATCTAAGCTACCCAGTGCATGGTTCCTATAATAAGAAAATACGGTGTAGAATGTCGGGATTCAAGAAAGGTATTTTGTATGGGCATTCATGGCATAAGGGCAGCAGAAAATAATTAGACTCTCTCGATGCATCCATGTACCAATGAGCCGAGAGCCACATGAAGCTATAGAAGTATTAAAAGACAGGGGGTTTCTCTTGACCTCAGTATTGGTGCCTAAGCTGGTTGTAACAGAACATTGTTCCTTAGGCTGATTCTGCCCTCTACTTTCAGGAACCCATCCCCTCAGTGGTGATGCTTCCCTGACTCTGCATGATTTTCATACTGATGACAGTGGACTGTATGTCTGCACAGTCTCCTACACCACGGATGGCCAGCTCCATACTAAAACTTTCTATCACACAGTGGTGGGTGAGTGGATTCCAGATGTCTTGAAGGATAGTGAAACAAAGGGGACTGAACTATTTGACTAGATGGGTGATTGGCTGGAACCAGGAGGAAGCTAGTGTGTGTGGGGGAGACATAAATTTGGAGAAATGCGGGAGAAGTTTTGGCCTGTGGCCAGACGCTGTGGCCAAACATACCGTAGGTGGTTTCTCTCTGTTCTCCTAAGGATCCACTGTCTTTCTTAGATGTTTACAATTTCTTTCCGTCCTCTTTAACTTCTTAATAGTGGACATGATGTGGAAGATGTGACTTTTGCCGTCTTTTGAGCTCCTGTTTTTGTAGGAGAAGCTGCCTTCCAGATTCCCCTTCCTCTGCCTCTTTCCCCAGGCTACCACATACGTGCAGAGCTGCACGTCCTACTGCTTTTTCAGTGCAACTCTTGCGATGAGGAATTGACGCACGGGTTCCTGAAGACCCTGCGAGAGCATCTGAGCGAGGTGGTGCACCACCTCCACTGTGAACTTCTGCTTGGCGCCATCAGCTGCTTCCCCACCATGGAGAAACCCTTGGATGAGTTCAACTTCCAGGTAGAGCTTGAAGGTCAGAGCCAAGAAATTCAGGGTGTTTCTAGAGGATGGCAGTCAGGTTGGCTGGGTTCAGTCACAGTTTGGGGAGGAAGTGAAGTTTGGAGCAGGAGAGGCTCATGCAGAAAGGCAGGATTTCACCAGCTAGGACTGCCTACTGAAAACACCAGAAGTAAGTGTAGCCTCAGTGTGTGTCTTTGCTGAGAACAGACAGATTTTGGGTAAAGGTACATTCCCTTGGATTGGCCGGAGGAACATTTCTTAAGCAGCAAGGGTGGCAATGGATATGTATCATGATCTGGAGGGTTGCGCTAAGTTGAATTAACATAATTTACTGCATTCATGCAAGCATCATATAGTGGATCTATTTTGCCATATCCTGGAATGAGGGTTTGGACTCTGTGTGCACAAATGGAAGAGCGAGCCTATTGGCAAAGGGACCGTAACATATTTGTCATTGTTTTCTAGTATCTCCTTTTGGGAAGGGCTGGGATAAGTTCTGCTCCCCCAAGGCTGATGCACTGGAATTTGATTGTTATAATGGAGCTGTCTTGAGCAATCTGCAGCAGGTACGTCACCAAACCTCATCTCTTCCCTACCAGGAAATAAGTTTGCTGGGGCTTTGTACCTACATATGTTGCTGAGCTGCAAAGGGAAACCATGTCTTTTATCTTCTGGAACAAGGCTAATGTGCATCGCTGCACATGGAATGACTGGGGTTATTTACTTTAAGGCAATACAAGCAAGAATCACATGGTTATGCATATTTCGAAGAAACGATGGGTGCTTGCATTCTAGGCATTTACAATGGAATTGCCACATTTTGTTCACTCACTCTTGCGATGACCCTGCCATCAGATTCTTATCCTTCTCTGTTTTCCCTGCAATCCTGTTTTCCTTCCTTTTTCAGAAAAACAGATCAATAACAAAAAGCAGACCTCCCAGTCTTCCTTCCCCCACTCTTGAACCACCCTATGCATCTCCCTACAGGCCGAGGAAGCAATAACCATATTCATG